CTCTTCCTAACCATGAACATGGAATGTTTCTCCATCTGTTTGTGTCCTCTCTTATTTCTTTGAGCAGTGGTTTGTAATTCTCCTTGAAGAGGTCCTTTACGTTTCTTGTTAGTTGTATTCCTAAGTATTTTATTCTCTTTGTAGCAATTGTGAATGGCAGTTTGTTCTTGATTTGGCTCTCTTTAAGTCTGTTATTGGTGTATAGGAATGCTTGTGATTTTTGCACATTGATTTTATATCCTGAGACTTTTCTGAAGTTGCTTATCAGTTTCAGGAGATTTTAGGCTGAGACGATGGGGTCTTCTAGATATACAATCATGTCATCTGCAAATAGAGACAATTTGACTTCCTCCTTTCCTATTTGAATACCCTTTCTTTCTTTTTCTTGCTTGATTGCTCTGGCTAGAACTTCCAATACTATATTGAATAGGAGTGGTGAGAGAGAGCATCCTTGTCTAGTGGCAGATTTCAAAGGGAATGTTTCCAGTTTTTGCCCATTCAGTATGATATTGGCTGTTGGTTTGTCGTAAATTGACAGAACGTATCTCAAAATAATAAAAGCTATTTATGAAAGCTGAATTTCAAGGGAGTTACCATCATTCCCTACTAAGAATGTGGTTTATGGTGAATGCTGCTTTCTTTCTGAAAGTCTTGAATTGTATATATCAGGCAGAGGGTGCCTCCATGACAATCCTTAATGGTATACAACATTTTACATGTGCTGTCATTTGCTGCTAAGTGAGTACTATGTTATCCCAGTAGGAGAGGACTCTTGCAAGTTTGCACCTTATTTTCTCTGGACTTTGTCCCACATACGTTTTCCCTTTGCTGATTTTTCTTTGTATTCTTTCTCTGTAATAAATGATGGCCATGAGTATGGCTATATGTTAAGTTCTGTGGGTTCTAGTGAATATTAAAGCTGGGGACCCCAAAGCTAAGACTCCATACCTTACCACCAGTTTATAAGAAATATGCAGAATAGAGAAACATGTAAATAATACTACAGGGATGCAATCAGCAGAATCCAGAATGTGAAAAGCTCTATATCTCTTATTAAATATGTAATGATAAAATATAACAATGTCTGAGATTAGTTTTAATGTAATATAGCAAAGGTGGTAGAATGGAGAAGAGAGTAGAATTATAGAGGAAACAAGATTGGTTATGAATTGACATTTGTTAAAATTTAGTAATGAGTTTACATAAATTTATTGTACTTTATAATAAATTTTAATGATATTTATTTTGTAAGATAATTTAAATTAAAGTTGAATTTAATAATTTTTAAATTAAATAAAAATTTGAAACTATACTTTGCTAATGTTTTAAAGGATTTTTGCATATATGTTCACATGAGGTTTTCTTTAATTTCCTTTATCATTGACTGCTTTTAAAATTAATGTTTTCTTTATATTTTTTCTATGCTAAATTTGTTTTCTTTATATTTTCTCTATGCACTAAGAAAAATATATATTAAAAGAAAAATTTGTTTCATGAAGATAAAAATAATCCACAAATAATTTAAGCCAATTAAATAGACAATTCTTTAACAGTTGTTTTCATTTTTAATTTCTGGTTTACCTTGATACTTCTTTGTAATTATGTAATAATGGTTTATTTTTTACAGAGAATATCCATTTCAGAAAATTCTGATTTTAGGAAAATATACAATAGTCTCATATAATTAAGATATTTTTGAGTGTGAATGTGAATATATATATACATATATTTGTAAATATAAATATTAATTATATTATAACATAGTATTATTGATGATTATATATTTACATCATAAAACTTGTTCATTTATTCTAGCATTCTGAGACCAATTTTGCTGTTGTTCCTCTGATATGAGTCTAGCCTTACACTAAACATTATATATTTACATCATAAATAGTATTACATTATAAAAATATGTACATTCTGTGTATATAAATATAAATGTATACATACATTTTACATACCCTTTGTCATTTGTAATAATTCCATCTTCCTTCTCACCCTCAAATAAACCTAAGATTCTGGACCTTAGCTAAAGAGGGTGGAATATAGCATTATATGAAAAAAAGTAGGTTAAGGGGGAAACTGAAATTGAAATACGTCTATACCAAGGGGTCAATGGAATTCTTTTATAGTGAAGCTGAAAGACCTCAGCATATGGACAGAAAACATGTTTGAAGCTATAAGGTGGACAATGGGGCTACCAAATCAAAGCAAGGGTGCTCCAAAGGCAGAATAAGAGAAGAGATTTCTTAAGCTGCTTAAGTGTAGCCTCAGCTGACCCCAATAAAAGAAATCAGCTCAAGGCTTTTGTTTCTGTGATTTCCTCGGTTTTTCTGGTTTATTTTTGATTTGACATTTACTATTTCCTTTCTCTTCATTTCCTTAGAACTTCTTGAAGTACTGTTTCTAAATTCTTGAAATAAAGTTTAATTCTTTTAATTTTCATTCCCTTTCTTTAATAAAAGTTGTGTATGAGATGTGAATTTACTTTCGATGCAGCTTTAGCTCCACTCCAAAAGCTTAGATATATAAATAATCCTAACTTCATAATTCTTCTAAATTGTTATTTTTAAAAATTGAAAGTATGAATAACATAATAACTAAATTTATAATTAATTTTCTCCTTGATTTGCAGTTAGGCAAATACATTTAAATTTTCAAATGTTTGATTTCGAAAACCATTTTTAAACTTTATTTGAATTAAAAAAAAAACCTTGACTTCTTCAAATGGAAGATGAAAATTTTATGTGTTGCTTTGTCTGCCTTGTTAGTTCCCAATACATTATCCATCCCCTCTTTGTCATTCTCATCTTTGTCATTTTGATCCCTTCTTTTTCTTTTTAACAAGTATTTCTTTATAATGTTTGTCTCTTATGTTCTATTTTTAGGTCTATTTATCACAATTATTTATGCTAGCATTTCCCAATTGGTGACTCCTCAAAACACTGTTTTATAATACATTAATAAGTGTTCTGAAAAGAAAAAATATTTGACGGTAAGGCAAGCCTTGCAACGAGGCTTGCTGAAGTAAGTGCAATATACTGATAACCTTATTTTAAGAGAGATTTTAAAGAGAATAATATAATCATAAATATTGTGGCTTGTCTTCAGGAAGTTGCATTATGCAAACTTTTCAAAATCATTTGACTATGGAGTTGATTTGTCCTAGAACATTTTTTAACATTCCATGAAGTTGATGTTTTCGTAACAGAACAACACTGTTTTGGGCTTATCTCTAGATCTTTAACTAATATAAATTCTCACTGCCAGTCAAATCTCCAATTTCTTTCTCGTTATCCAGTTTTTAGTTTTGATTAATCTCCTGGTAACTTGGAGCAAATTTTTATTTTTGTTTATATCAAAAAGTACAAAATGATATATTCTCTGATGCATCGATAATCTTAAAATGGCATTCACATAATACAACAGCTTGCTTGGGTATAAAAATCTTTGAGTCATAACTGTTTTCTTTCAAGGTACTACAAATGTTCATTTCCTTCTAGCATTCTGAGACCAATTTAGCTGTTGTTCCTCTGATATGAGTCTAGCCTTACACTAAAGAATTAAGCATTTCACTGGAATATGTTTTGATAAGTATCTGTTTTTTTCCTGAGTCATGGCGAGCCTCCTCCATGTCTAGATACAATATTTTTTGGATGAGAGATGCTTTCTTCTGCACCTCGATTACTTAACTCTGAAGTTCCTCTTATTCTTATTATTTATAGTTTGTATGTTTATTCTTTTTCCATAGCAATTTTTCTTTCTTTCACGATTTACACGGCTTTATCCTTTTCTTCAGCATACGAAAGTTACTTTTTTTTTTTTAATGTCTGTTCTACATACTAATTCAATTTTTTTGCAGTCTCAGGTTGGCTATTCTAATGCTTCTAAGATTTAACTACCACAGTTTTATTTTGGGGAAATTGCTTCCTATAATAATTTTTCTCTTCTTGTTTTAATCTTTGCTTATTATTTAATCTTATCTCATGTATAATTTATCTCAGTATGGCAGGCCCTACTTGTATAGAGATAATGTTCTTTTACATACTGGGACACTTTTTCCCTTCTTTTTTGTTAATTTTAAGTCTTGTATTTGTTGTCTTCTGGCTCACCCTTGAATGAAGAAATGTTTTTGCTCCCTGTTGTGAAACATTCAGAATAGGTTTCTAACTCCCTTTTAATCTTTTCCTGGTTAAATTAGTCCTGATCCTTCAAATATTTTTATTTGTTTAATAAAAAGCTGATTATAGAATTTTAGAGCAGAAAATAACTATACAAATCATCTAGCCCAGGTCTCCTTCTTCTATAGATAAGTTCCTGATGTTCAGGAAGAATAATTGCTTAAGTACTTGCTCCAACCTTAGTACTGATAAACACTAGAATGTAGGTCAGTTACCTTTGTACTGTATCAACTGCCTCATGCAAGATTTTTTTGTTTTCTTATATTTTATTTTCTTGATTTATTAAAAAGCTTTAGAAACTGAGATTGAGAAAGAAAAATAGCCCCCCTCCAAAGGTGATTAAATTAGAACTGAATATTGAAAACCACCCTAGTAAATTGTTGGCTTACATTTCTGATGTGTTATTAAAAAAAGAACACAAGCTATATGAGATTACCTATCTTAACATAATACCATTTATATCAGCGAACAAACTGAGGATTTAACTTATTTATCTAGGATGAATATGTAAAAGCTTCCCCATATAGACTCTGAATGCCAAATATAGACACCTAAATAACTCCTCTCAAACCCAGCACTTCTACTAGGCCCTCTCCTGCTGATCAATCACATGCCTATCCTTCTCACTAAATCTTCACTACTATTGGGTTCATTACTAACCATTTTATTGGGATAAGTAAAAAGTTAGTGAGTGAATCTTTTGGGTCACTTTTTATTAGTCAGTATACATTTAATATTTCCATAGTTTCCTGGAAGATTTTTGTCCCTGAAAAATTTCCATAAACTAGTAACTCTCTCTTAAAAATAATTTTAGAAAATTGATAACTATTGTTATTTTATTATTTTGTATCTGTTTTTACAATGTTATGTTTCCAGAATTATTTAACCTTCATTTATTTGCCTTATTTTTTTCTGAAAAGCTTTTGTACATATATTTAATACTTTTTATAATTATTTGATGAGATAATGGAGTAAGCAATTTCCAAAATTCCTTGTCAGTTGTCTCCATGAAAGAACCATAAATAATATTATTGTTTATAGGAGAAAATTTTTATTTTGGAACTGGACATATGCTAAGTGAAACAAACTGGAAGGCAGTCCTTAGGGGGCATAAACTCAAAAACATAACAACTTATTACCTATATACTTACTTCCTTTTTACCTGTCTCATGATACTGAGCAAATTATGTAGCTGGTCATGCAGGTAAGCTAAGTTGGTCAAAGTGACCACAATGTGACTACTAGCTTGTTTGCTCTTTGCCCTTGATCCTGTGTTCCTCAGCTGCAAGCAAACCCACTGTGTGCAAATCACCCATTTGGTTCATCACAATGTCCATGGTCCTTGGGAGGCAAGGGGAACCCACAGTACAATGATGACACACTTTCTGTTTGCTGAGTATGAGTAATAAACCGTCTTGCTCTGGTGTAGTAAGTCTTGTTGTCTACTTCTGACATCTATGAAGTGATAGCATGTTCACTCCTTGCCAAACTT